GTCACGAACGAGGAAAGCAACCCCAACACCAGATTTTGCCACAACAGAATTTTACTTAGATGTGGCAAATAAACACAAACACAAATGCTGGAAACATACAATAAATTTACATACACCCAGCCCAAAGGCTGAGACCCTTGTGCTGCACAGCACGGCGCCTTCAGATGGATGAAGGTAGAAAGTGTAGTAATTTACCAACTGGCGGGCACAACTAAGCTGCCACACCTTACCTGTTATTACCCTAAAAATGCAGGAATCAGTGTATGGGTGTACGGTATGGGCTAGCCTGCGGTGCAGCACAACAGCTTACAAACTTACACAAATCTACAGTATTCCCTCTCCCATAACTGGTCCTGTAGCACGTGCCTGAGTATTCCTTCTGAGCAAAACGCCAGTCTGACTTGAGTTTGTAGGATTTTATCAGCTCTCCAATGTGAAATGTCACTTTAAGTTGTGGAGTCCTTCCAATAATCAGTAACAACACTTGTGGCGTGACAGAAACAGAGACCCTAACTAACTAACTATAGGCCTGGACTCAGTCTCAAGGCGCCAACATGGAAATGAGGTGCGTGCACGATCTTACCGACCCGGGTCTGCTGTGCATCCGCTAGTGACTCTGAACAGAACAAATGTCTCTCCAACAAGCATGCGGTCTCACCGTATATGTTGCTTAGTTCCTCTGCTCTCATCCGCCTTCCTGGCAGCAATCTCATCAGCATTCCTGGCAGCAATCTCATCAGCTTCCTGGCAGCAATCTCATCAGCATTCCTGGCAGCAATCTCATTAGCTTCCTGGCAGCAATCTCACCAGCTTCCCTCAGCTGCAGCTCTGGTTACTGACGGACACCTTCACACCTGGATGTCATCAGATTCTCAGCTCACACGGCCCCTTATTCACCATGCTCCAAAACATGGTTTCTCTCTCTCCTTCCTGTTCTCTAAAAACTCTGTGTGCAAAACCCCACCTCTTCATGAATATACAAATATCTATGCAGTCTGAGGCTGTGTTAGAAAAACAGTGACATCTTGTGGCTAAACCGCAGAATGTCCGTCAAAACATTAATTTACTTCCACACAAACAGTGTTCAAACAATGAGAGCTGTTTCCCCATCTCACAGATATTTTGTCCCTGTACCATTAAAGCGGTATTAAACCCTTCAAAAAACTAATATATTGCAGCTCTCCAATCCTTAAATATGGTAGGTGCAAGGCCTGTGCTAAAATATTTTGTGCCCTAGGCAAGGCCAGCTTCTTTCCCTCCCCCCCCCCCAAAAAAAAAAAAAAAATGTAAAAAAATTAAAAATGTTTTAAAAGAATAGAAAATATTAAATCAGCAAAACATGAAACTGCTAAATTTCTTTTAATTTGCAAAAATAAGTGTCATAAGATGCCACCAACACCAATATTAAAGACAAAATCAGTGTCACGGATGGACTGTATCTGTGGCTGGCAGTGGCAGGCTGACAGTTGCAGTGAGTGGAGGATGATGGGTCCATACTCTGACAGATCCCAAGCTGGAATGCCCCAGGCAATAGGGGGACAGCAGGCAGTTGAACTGAGCAATCCCACACAGTGACAGATCCGACACAACACACCACCACCAACACTGATACAGATCAGCAGGCCCAGCAGGCACTAGAATAGCAGGCTGTGAGGTTGTATGATGTCATCACTCACTGACACATTGCACATGTGATGGATGTCCGGCCGGCTGGATCACACTCACACAGACACGAGACATCAGAGTCATACATTACCTTCCTCCGCAGGCGCAGTTCTGCCTCCGCTGAAGAATGGGAAGAGAAGGGCTGGAACTCCACAATGATTAGCAGCTGCCAGCCGGCTTGCATTAGGGGACTGAGTCTGAGAAGAACACTGGAAGAAGTGGCAGCTCAGCTGCTAAACTGGCCACAAACACCCGACATCTTCCTCTGTCCTTTCTTCCTCCACTCTGATGCCCCTCGTCTCAGCTAAGGGATCATTCATGTGGCGGCGTCCCACACAGATAGAGTGCCGGCTTGTTCTGTGCCCAGGTGCCCCTAGGTGGCAGTGTGCCCTAGGCGACTGCCTAGTTTGCCTAGTGGAAGCACTGGCCCTGGGTAGGTGTATTAGTTTTTTTTTCCCCTTTATGTTATCTGGTGCATTCTGGATGAAGTAGTAATGCAAATAACTTTGGACAGCGGCATTGTCAATCTGGGGAAAGGGTAGTGTTAGACTAGCAGATATAGATGGACTTGACTAACATGCTGAAGCTGAACTCCAGCTAACAATTTATAAGCAGTTATAGCAAACAGTATTTTTCCTTGTGGGATAAAGGTTTTACATACATGAATAACGGTGATCATTATAAGCACCCCTGTTAGTGTTACATGGTTTGTCTCAACCCTTTAACTGATACTTTGTCGGGACAGCTTAGTCTGTTAAAGGAAGTTGAAAAATAACAGACTTTCTGGCTGGATCACTAGGTGAAAATAAAAGAAGAACGCCTAAAATAAAAAACTAACTAATACATTTTTGTTTTTGGGTTTAATAACTTCTTAAATAGTTTACCATAACATAATTTAAAAGGTAGATGCCAGGTATGAATATTTATGCATAGTTACATTGGTCCAGCTTGGACCAATATAAGTGTATATGTTTTACACTTGGCTACTTTAAATGCTTTGTCTTTAAAACCCGTTTGAACATTTATTGTAATTATCATTTTCCACTGCCAACTATACCACAGACTAAAACATAAAATTGAAGAAAACTATTGTCTGATCCCTGTGCACAATAGTAAAACACAAGCCCCACTCAGATGCTGCCTGCTGGTTACTTTACAAATCCTCCCTTGCTGTGATCTCTCGGTGCTGCGAGAATGAAGAGCTTCAGCTCCAACAGTGAAGATATTCTGTCATTAAACCTCTCCTTCCTCTCCTCTTGTCAATTCACAAACCTCCATGTATTCTTTTTTCAGAATGTGAACAGACAAGGTGAGATCCCATCATTACTCCCCCCCCCCCCATTCTGTGAAAAGAATACAAGATTTTTGAACTGGAGAACAGAAGAGAAAAGGGAAGGCGAATGATGGGATCCTTCGTTGTCACAGCTATTGTTCTCAATCATCGCAGTACTAGAAGATCACTGTTGTGTGCAGTATCCAGTTTCAATTAAATAAACCCACACTCCAAAGTCATGCTGATAGGTTAATTGTCTAAATTGGCCCTAGTATGTCTATGTATGAATATGAATTAGGAACCTTAAATTGTAAGCTGCTTGAGTGCAGGGACTGATGTGAATGTATAAAACATATATAAAGTGCTGTGTAAATTGAAGGCACTAATGGCACTATACAAGTGTAACCCCCTCCAGGTTACTTAGATAGGATTTTTTTGTTAGATAGAGGCTGAGTAACAGCCTAGGATTAGTTAGCGTAGGAGTGAGGCAGGAGTTCACCTCAGGACAGGCTGGGAGGTTTTACAGGTCAGGGCTTCTGGAGCCCTCTCACCTTTCCAGAAACTAGAGAACTTTCTGGAACAGGGAAGGAGGAGGAGGAAAGAAGGCCCAGATCTGAATGTTTAAAGGACCTTGGCCAATCCCGTCAGGAGGCTGTGCATGGTGACTAGGGCAACCCTCAAATATGACAGAGCCTTGGGAGCAAAAGGAGTTGGGTAGAAGATGGATTGAGAGAAGGCTGGAGTGTAAAGCCTGGGAAGGGGGCCCCAGGGAGGAGAGCCTACTTACAGGCTGGTTGCTGGACAGGAGGATCTCCACTGCCCAAAGCCTCCTAGGGAGGACATCCTGGGCAGCAGGGAAGGAGCCAGTCCAGCAAAAGGCCCATCATGCTGACAGGACAGGACAGTGAGTACTCCTACAAACCCTGGGCCAAATAAGGGGAGAGGGCGATCAGGTGTAATACCCAACTAGTCTTCATCTGGGACTGCTTAACTGCAAGCTCTTGGGACCCCCTTGCTCAGGGATACCCTCCTCAAAGCTGGGTAAAGAGGAGGGTTCATCCGGGTCTGAGGAGGGACAGTGCTACATTTTTGGTAATCCACATTTTTTTGTACATCGTTCCTAAGAAGTTCATCCTCATGTTCTACAGTTCCTTGGACATCCCATATACCCCTAGACCCCATCCAAGTTGTTAACCCCTTAATAAAAACAACTAAAAACCAGCTCAAGAACTGTTTACTGACTCTGCGTATGTGGAAAAATGAAGAAAATGTGTGTTGCCTGGCTGTGCTTATCTTAGGGGGACCAAAACCCAGCGACTCCTACAGGGGTAGTGCTGAAATTAATAAATAAAATAAATAAGGATTGCACAGCAACCAGCAGAGGATACTCATCAATGAAAAAAATATATTTGTTAAAATATAGAAGCACAGTTTGTGAGGCTACTCTGCACACTTAGGTCAGAATTCCAACCTCTGCTAATTTTAGTGTTTCGCTGCTACATTATGTTGTTTATATATCAATGCTTACTTAGCAGATTTTCATAAAAAGTTCACAAACCTCTTTAAAATTGTACAGGATCTTCACATTGTAAGTTTTCATTGCTGTGAAACATTATTCATTTATTTTACTGAATAAAAATCTTTGCCTAAGCAGTTTATCTTTCAGCATGATGTCATGCTTTATCTCCTCATGTACAGCAGGTGGCAGCGTTGTGGCTTTTGAGGACCACTTTTTTTTTTTTTGACTGAATTCCCCTAGACAGGAATCCCCTCCTTCTGCTACATATAAAACAGATGCTGAGATGTCTGTTACTCAGTTTGGGGCATGAAGCATCTACTGCTGAGTCTTCAGGAAACATAAGAGTCTGAGACAAGTGCATTCTCCATTATCACAAGCTGGAATTTAGAGCTGCGAAAGAAATCCTGGGATTTGCAGTCCTACTGGAATATTAATAAGCGAATTCAAAGGACTTGCTATTTGAAGCGCCATCACAGGGCCTTGGACATAAAGATCTTATACAGTCTTAACCCTTATACTCTCTGTTAAAGCAGGACCCTAATTATGTCTGGAGGTCCGGGAACACCCACTGTGACAAAAGTCATAGCTTATATCATTTATTTTGCAGATCCTGTCCACATATGGTAAATTATTTGTATTTTAATGGGAAATATTAATTTTTCTTTTGTTTTTTTGTTTAAATGCTCTTTGTTATTCACAGCTGTAGTCTTTCTGCTGAGACAAACAGATATTTTATTAGATATAGAGGTCATGATTTCAATATTATTTGTTAAGAGAACACTAAATTGGTGGCATGCCTCTATTGTCTTTATAAATTCAATTTTTATTTCTAAATTTGAATATCTTATAGTAAGATAATGCTCTCGCTAAACTGTGTTAAATGTCTATCTGCACTATTCATTGTTGATGTTCTTCAAATCAGAATTCCAATATTATTTGATAAAAGAGCACTACATTGGAGGCATACCTCTATTGTCTTTATGCAGTATATTCCATTTTTATATACAAATTTTAATATATTGTATTTAGTGGATTGGCGAAATTGTGCTAAATGTCTATCTATGCTGTTCATTGATCATATTGTACAAAAACATGAGATCAATATTATTTGATAAGAGAATACAATAGTGGCAGACCTCCATTGTCCATATTGCCTTGTTTCTGAACATACTCATTTAAGATGTATGAATATGTTAAGGTGAGAGAACACACAGTTTGTTGTATTAATGATTTGTGTAGAATGCAATGTCTTTTTTTTTTTTTTGAGTAATTGAAGAACTAAGATGCAATCCTAACCTTTTGTGCTCCATTGTCAGAATGTCAGATTGTTGCCATGTTCCTTGTGTGTGACAGACGATGTGGCTTGTGTACCTAACTAGCTCATTGTGTCTTCGACAGCCCATGCCAAAGACATCACCCTTATAGAGCCTAATTCTATAATCAAAGCTGAAATAGGGGAAGAGCTTCATATCACGTGTCTAGGCACCAAATGTCAGAATCCGGACTTCATCTGGGCTTCCCTGGCTGACACTCCATTAAGTGGTACAATTAACAATGCTGGACAAATATCAGTCCTGACCATGAAGATCAGCAATGAGAACCTTGACTTGTATGATTCCTATCGGTGTACTGTGCATTGTGATAATCCTCCTGCGGAAAAGGGCTTCAAAGTCATAGTTTACTGTAAGTATTGCATCCAAACTTAAAGTGATACTAAACATAAAGTGATCCAACATCTTATTAGGGGGTACCAGCATTCATTCTTTGTGGTATGTAGGAATTGTAGCCACCCCATCTTTCTTACTACCAAGATGGACTAGGGACTGTGGGCTGAGGGATTTGTAGAATGCATAGAGCAGGGCACATGACTGCAGCTAACATGTACTGCTTGATACAAATAAACAGAAGTGAGGGGGAAAAGCAAAGGTTCAGGATATCACGGAGGAAGAAAAACACAACAGGGAACAAGTTCATGGAAAAATAACTTGCAGGGCCATTAAGCAGTGGATTTACAGTATATGAAATTGATTAGTTTTGGAGAATAGTATATTTTTTAGTGTCACTTTAATGCAGTCATTGCAAGTGCATAAAAACTTATGTCTGGTTGACTGAAAGATGGAAGAGCCTTTTAAAATATTCCACAATTATGAAAATATACAAGACTATATGGAATCAGTGGCACCTGTTGCAAAACCTCTAAAAGCCTTTAGTTGTCAGCAACCATTCTGTATATCAGTCATCCTCATACAAGACGAACAGCAGACTTAAACGTGAAGCTGGAGATCTTGTTAAAACAGAAGTATTCATGTGGAAACATCTGTCTTTAACGGTCAATGCTCTTCCTGCACAATGTATGTTCAATTATAGGTACTGGTGCAATACTTGAATTAACCGCCAGTAACGGTATAGGGTGTGGTTATACCAGTCATCGTATTGTGTAACGTCTCCTTTGTAAAACCTAAACCAATGAAGCCCATACCTTGCCTAGGAGTGACATGAGCTCAGTCTCTTTAGTCCTGACAGTATATCATGTGTCTGTATAATATTTTAAAACCAAACTCAAGGTAAAATGATTCTCATATTAAAACTACATACTTCGTCTTGGGGGTTTTTACAATTCCCTCAGCACAAAGGTATGTTAAACTGGAGGAAGGTAGTACTGTAGCTTACAGCACCAATCAGTTGTCAGTTTTTCCTAACCCACACTGGAAAATTGTCATTTTTGAATGCTATAAGCACAGTTTCACTTTTTTTGCTCAAGTTTTTATGGATAAGGCTTTTAGCGTGTGGCGTGTAGCTACATCTGACTGATGTTCTACGCTTACTTGAGTATAACGGGATACTGACAGATTGTCTAACTAATGCATTAAATGTCTTATTACAGCACTTCCTAAACCCATCCTGACCATATCATCTCTTGTGGCTGGAAAAGAGTCACATATCACCTGTACCATTCCTGATGCCTATCCCTATTACATGGTTGATGCTCAGATCTCAATTGCTGGGATGACTGTGGCTCAGCATGAGGTCCCAGATGAAGATTTTGAAATGTACGTAGTGAAAAAATATCAGCCTGTCTCATGATTTAAAGCTGACTGATAAATATGAGGCACAAGAGATAAAATGTGAAGCTAAACTACAATTTCTGGAAAATGGAATTGATCCTATATATTGGAATACATCTATGCAACTCAACCTTCTATGTGAGTAAACCAGGGGCATCATTTTCAAAGAACATGTATAAGGAGTGTATATAAATATTATTGGTGATCTATATATTGATTAAATTGCATTGCGTCAATATGTCCTTTATTTTAAAGCCCAGTGCCAGTCAACTAAAAAAATTATTCCTTGCAATGGGGCTGGACCTGCACTGCCAGAGTTGTTTGTTTGTTTAGGTCTATGGGAACAATAAAAGAAGAATTACTTACCCGATCCTCGACTCCTCCTCACTGCTAGACCAATTCCCAGCAGTGTTTTCTCCTGCACGCTCCAGCGGTTTAGGGTCCTGACGTCATCAAGACCAATGTAGGGTCCATAGCCCTAAATTAGATGTGTTGATGCTGAGGGACAGTCCACTGCTGGTACATGGGGAGCACCATCTGCCAGAGGATCGCAGGTAAATGGGTTTCTCCTTTCCCCAAGACAAAGCAAGCAATAAACTCTTGCAGTGCAGATGCAGCCCCATTGCAAGGAATATTTATACATTTTCCGAGAGCTGGGCTTTAAGGTTGTTGAAAAGGCAAACATTTGTTTTCTAAAATGAAAAAGAGCTTTATACTTTCCTCCTATGTGCAACATTGCATATTGCAGAGAGTGGCCCCTTATCTCCTCTTCTTGGGTCCTCTGCCAGCACTGTTCACTCCTCCACTTCTTTAAGTGCCCCTGTAGCAAGCCTGCTCCTATAGTTACACTCATGTGAGCATGTTCTCGAGTCAGGCTGTGTGTATCCATTTACACACTCAGCACGGCTCGCCCCTACCCCCGCTCCCTCCTCACATGATTTGATTGACAGCAGCATGAGCCAATGGCTCCTGCTGCTGCTTTTGTGTCCTGTGAGAGCAGGGAGAGGAGAGATTATCACTACATAGTTTTGGATTGAGAAAGGACTCAGGTAAGTATTTGTGGCAGTGGGTGGAGGGCGATACAACTACTGGGAAATTTTTTACCTTGATGCATGGACTGCATTAAGTAAAATATCTTGCCTTTAGAACCACTCTAAGCAATTTAAATTATCGGGCAGTATTGATACTATGTAACACAGTCAGCTGCTTAGTTAAGAACACTTAAAGGAGTGCTCACATTAATTACATTAGATATAAACAAAGAACACAAATCACTGACTCAAATTGCTGTGTTAGTATTGGTAAAATATGTTTCTTACTTTAAAATAGTGTGCATATACAGTATCTCTATCCTATCCCTGTGGCTGCAGCTACTGTTTTTTACTATTTCCAATTCTTTATCGGAGCTATAGGGAGGTAATATATCAGCTTTCTGCTCATTGCAAACATGGGCACGTTCTATGAAAAGTGCTGGCTACTGGATGTTGTAGGCTTTAGCTATGCAGTCTGCCCATCAGTTGTTTGACTAAATTCTCAGACCTGCTTATGAAACAGTAATCCAGCAACTGATAAGCACAGGCAAATTCTGCAACATGCAGTGGCCGGCATGGAAGAACATGCTCATCTAAAAGGATGCCGGGGATATGTTCTTTCTCTAGGGCTCACCCCTTGTCATCACTTGCTCTGAGTGCATCTGAATGGGTAGCTAGAAAGAGAGATATGGAGAGAACAGAATTAATTTTAGAAACAGACATAAAAGAAATGAATGCAGATAGGGATCCCTTGAATGATTTTGGGGTGACTTCATGTTCACAGAGTTTTAAAGCAACAGGATGAAACAATTGAAACTAGAAGCATATTTCTTTGTTTTTTTTTAAATAAGTTACTCTTTAAAAGGACACTATACCTGTACTTACAAAGATCTGGGAATTGGTGAAGATGAGTGCAGAGTGTAAAATGACTGACCTTTAGGTTCCCTATAACCAGGTTTCATACCAAGCCCAGTGTAATCTACTTCCACCTTCTGAGTCTTCTTTGGATGTTGGGAGTTGACTTGACACTGAGGAGATGATGACAAAAGGCAAGAAAACATACAAAAATAAGCTCCAGTGGGAACTGTGGATAAAGACATTTAGTTTACATGCTCCTTTTACCTTATCTGTGTGTAACTGAAAGTAAAGTTGCCATTTTAAAGGTTCTAACTGTATTTCATGATCTTATATCACTATGCTACATTTTGTTTCTTTTTTTCAGATCCTCCAGGAAAACCAACTATCTCAGTTTTCCCTGACACAAATGTAAACGCAGCAGAAAGCATCTCCCTGTCTTGTACCTTTGAAAGTAGATCCCCTGCTAGTGTGAAGTGGGTGAAGCTGGATAAAGGGAAGGAACTGGTGATGAGCTCTGATGACCAGGGAACTCTGACAATTCCAAATGCAAAGCCAGAAGACAGCGGGCTGTACATCTGCCATGTACTAAACAATGTAGGAAAAACATCTTCCCAAGTGGTGATCACTGTACAAGGTAAGACAGGAACCGGGAAAACATCTGCTTGTAACTCAGCTAATGTTCCTACTGCTTTGTGACAGGTTGGATTTTGCATGGGCTCAATAGACCAGAGCCTACCAGTAGCACAGAGATGGCTTTTCCACACAACTAACAGTTGTAAGATTCAATTCACTAAGAATTCACTAAGCTATAACACTCGTTATAGATCATAAAGACTGATTTCCAGAGAAGAGAAACTAAAGAGAGTTGAAGGTCACATTCAAAAAGCAGCAAATAACAATGAAAATTGAAAATGGCAAAAAAATTAACCAGTACAGTAGGATGGAAGCTGGAGAAAAGAAAAGCAAATTTGTCTTTGATAAATATTCCCCCATAGTGTTGTTTCATAATAGATCTCTGATGGTTAGATACACCAGGTTTAGCCCCCTTTGCAACTTACTCTCTACAGACTGCTGCAAGTCAAAACCCTTCTTATGTCCTATGTGCCACTTAGTAAGTGTAGTGCCTATCATTTTCTCTACAGGGCTGTGTAATACATAGATTCCATAGCTAATTTTGTTTGTCTTCTATTTTAACTCAAGACTGTCCGATTTAGGTTTCTCAATATTTTCACTCCTATTATGGTTATGGTTTTATGCTGTACTGTATATGTTCTATACCGCCGAGTACACTCTCTTGTTATTCTTCTCTATAGGCACACTTGCTCATTGTTATTGGTAAGTGGAACATGCTATGGTGAGATGCATACATTTGTGTGCGCAACCTTTAATTCTCAATCAAAAAGTTACCTGAAAAAAATTGATCTCAAAGCCTTAATAGGAATCTAAAGCCAAAATGTTTTTTTCCATTCTGGATAAAGTGAAGGTTTAACACCTATATGAAGCTTTTTTTTTTTGCTGTCTATGTCCCCACTAGGGAGTTTCACTCTACTATTTGACCTGTTTGCCAACATCACGGGGACAGGAGGTGCAGAAAAATCCTAAATGTTTAGTTTTTGTTTTAATTGGATGACATTCTTCTAATATAGACATTTTTTCTGGTGAGAACGGTCTAAAAGAGGATTTCCCTGACTTTAGAGTGACTTTTCTGTCACTTCCGGCTGTGTGTACAAAATAGGAAGTGAATGTAAATCTCTTCGATCGATGGGACACAAATGGCAGAAAGAAACCAGACAGTGGTTCTGATCATTCCATACAATAATCACAATAAAATGTTTTGGGCTTCAATCAGTTTTTTTAAAGCAGTCTTGTTAGACCACAATGCTTTGTAAGTACTGGCATCTGAAAGCAAAAGGGTGTTTTTCACAGTTATTTGATTCTATAACACTTAGCAGCTTTCACTATGCCATATGCTTACAAGCCGACCTCAATGCACTGTTTAATTGGGCAACTATGTGGCAAATGAGGTTTAATGTTGATAAATGTAATGTTATGCATTTGGGGGCTAAGAATATGCATGCATCATACATACTAGGGGGGGTACAACTGGGGGAATCAATGGTGGAGAAGGATCTGGGGGTTCTGCTAGATCACAAGCCTAATAATGGCATGCAATGCCAAGCTGCGGTTTATAAAGCGAGCAAAATCCTCTCTTGTATTAAAATAGGTATAGACTCCAGAGAGAGAGAGATATCATATTACCCCTGTACAAATCATTAGTAATACCTCATCTGGAATATGCAGTTCAGTTTTGGGCGCCAATTCACAATAAGAACATTGGGGAACTGGAGAAAGTACACAGAAGGGCAACCAAACTGATAAGAGGCATAGAGGAGCTCAGCTATGAGGAAAGATTAGAGGAACTGAATGTATTCTCTCTTGAGAAGAGGAGATTAAGGGAGGATATGATCATCATGTATAAATACATCAGTGGTTCATATAGTGAACTCGGTGTAGAGTTATTCACCCTGAGGTCATCACAGAGGACAAGGGGGCACACCTTACGTCTGGAGGAAAAGAAAATTAATCTCCAAACATGGAAAGGTTTCTTCACAGTAAGAGCTGTGAAAATGTGGAATAGACTCCCTCAAGAGTTGGTTCTGGCCAGCTCAGTGAATTGCTTTAAAAAAGGCCTGGATGCTTTCTTGGATACACAGAATATAACTGGATACTAACATTTATAGGTAAAGTTTATCCAGGGAATATCCCTCTCAGGGGATCAGGAAGGAATTTTTTCCCGGGCAGGAGCAAATTGGATCATGCTTTGCTGGGATTTTTTTTGCCTTCCTCTGGATCAACTGTGGGTGTAGGATTTATAACTTTAGTTTTTTTTTAATGGCTGAACTGGATGGACTTTTGTCTTTTTTCAGCCAGACTAACTATGTAACATGCTATCATCAACACAGCGACTGACAACAATCAGCCAGCATATAGTGAAAATTGTCATATTGGTATATTTGCTGAGTTAAAATGATATTTAGCAACGGGGTTGATTTACTGAAGGCACATAGACAGCTCCTTTTGCAAGGGAATTTGCCCCAGAGCATAGTGAATGAGGTGAAGCATGGCTGACTTCTATTGTCCAATCATGTACAAGTGAAAATGCTGTTTTCTTTTTACTTTTCTTGTACATATTTGAGTATTCTTTAGAAAGTTAAACTTCACTATTTCACTACATTCACGAAGCTCCGGGTCACATCCCCTTGCAAAGTGCCACTGCCCTTGCTAAGTGAACAGCCTTTCTGCCTTTAGTAAATTGACCCTAACGACTCACAATAACGACTTGCAAATCCAAGTCTTCTGTTTTGCACAATGCAAGAGAGCTGGAATGCAAAGAAATGTGCAATAAAAAAGTAAATGTATAATTTATGGAATTGTTTGTATATTCTATGTCTTGTATAGAAATGTTGTCTACCTATTTTCAAGCCAATTAAGTATATAAATATTTATGTTTTCTAGCTCTTCCCGAAAAACCTAAGTTGACCATATATCCCACCACCATAGTGCAAGCTGGTCAGCCTGTCACAATTGAATGCGTAGCTAATGGCAATAAAAATGTGAATGTTACCTTGTGGAAGGTATTAAAAGATGGAGATACTCCTCTTCTAGAAGCAAAAGGAAAATTAGTCATAAAAGAAGCAGACCCAATAGACGCTGCCAAATACAAGTGCACAGCTGAAAATTATTATGGAGTTAATGAAGCATCAGAATCACTCATAGTGGAATGTAAGTATGATTCGTTGATACACAGAAAACTTAAAAGATGAGGGTTTTTTTTTCAGAAATCATACTTACCTGGGTGGATGCATTATCGGTCCAATGCTGCATCTGTCTCCCGCCAGCTCTAAGACTGAGAACTGAGCGATCAAACACCACTGATCACTCAGTTCTCAATGCTCCGTGAGCAGAGAGCTGGAGACTGTCAGTCTGTGTTCACTGGAGTGCTAGGCTGTGGCAGATCGCTGAGAGACAGAGCCAGGTGCTGGCCCAGACATCTGGGTGGATCCCAACTTTAAATGTCGGGATTTTTATCCAGCCTGGACCAGCTGAGTGATGTCAACCGACAGTGGATTTTAGCCCGCTGTTGGTTGAAAAAGGGTCACAGGAGTGTAGAACAAACTGCACTCCTATGATCCACAGGAGAAGTACAGCCAAACAAGCTTTGGCTGTAGTTCTCCTTTAATCTCATGTAATCATTGATATGTGTTTGACTGATTGAGACTATGTTTAGGATCCACTTTTGGACCATTTCACAGCATAGTATTACTGCAACATGTAGGAGACACCTTACACTGTTCATACACTATTGTAACACGAGAGTGATATGCTTGGCTGTAGTCCTATACATGAGCTGACTCTAAATATTTGCATTGGCTGGTAATATTCTAATTATCTGACTGGCTACATCCATTTAATCAATCAGTTAAATTCATATATCCAGTCATATATATCTTTGATTTCATACTATTTAGACTCGTCTAATATTAGACATTCACACTATTAGAATTTCAGATTCCATAGGCACACATTTTTTAAAAGACTCCAGAGGCACACAGAACATCTATTGACATGATTCTTACAGGACAAATTATTGTTCATGCTCATTCCCTTGAATAAATCAAATGTGTAATAAAATTTAAACATATAAATGTTATGATTTATCCCCCCAATACAGCACTCAGCATTGTCCGCATACAATATCATGTTACACAACACCAGGACCATAAAGTATTTTAATCCTTTAAAGTAGTGATAGACCATGCTATTGAACCTATTGCAATCCAAAGGTCCACCTGCTGAGATGAATGTGATAACTATATTGTATGCAGACAATACTGAGGACTGTGTCAAGGGTACTTATTCTCCAGACGTATTATGTAATATGACTGTCTACCAGTCTTGTGTGTCCTTTGGAGAATTCTTTTCTCCTACCTCTGCTTCAATGTGTGTAGCTGATTTTGTAATTCATTTGAACTACAAAATGCTCTACAGTCTTGTTATAAATGACATTTGAATGTTTATCTAGTGAAATATAAAACATTGTTTATTCATCTATTTTTTCAGATCCTCCAATGGACACTACTTTTGCATCTTCTGTTGAAGAAGTAAATGAAGGGGGTGAAGTCACTTTGACATGTGCTTCACAGGGAGTCCCTGAACCTCGCTTCTTACTGTATCATCTGTTGCCATCAGGGGAGAGAGATCTGCTTTCTGAAGGTCCAGTAGTCACATTGCCAATTGTGACCAGTGGGGTTTATCAATGTGAAGCCACAAACCCGCTGGGCAGCAAGAAAGAGAAACTGGATCTTAGAGTGCGATGTGAGTAGTGGTAGTGGTAAACCCAAACAACCATCCAGACTAACCTTAAGTTAAAGTATCTTCTACTGATTAGATTTCCACAATAAATAAATATGCTACCTTACATGGGGCGGCACAGTGGCTTAGTGGTTTAAATGCCAACCAGGACACTACCTGCGTGGAGTTTACCACTTTGTGTCAATCCAAGTGACATGCATTCTTTAATGAGATCATGCTTGTGTTACTGTGGTTTATTTACTGAACCTGGAGAGTGCAAAATCAGGCTCACTTCTGCATAGAAACCAATCAGCTTCCAGGTTGTATTACCAAAGCTTAAGTGAACAAGCTGAGGTTAGAAGCTGATTGGTTTCTATGCAGACGTGAGCCTGATTTTACACTCTCCAGTTTTAGAAAATAAACCCCATTTTTAGAAATATTTGCTCACATAAAAGGGGCATCAAACCTTAAAAAGGTAATTGGACATTTTCCAGTTGTCTCATTTGCATTGACACAGTTGGTATTAACCAATATTGGTTTTGTGAGTAAACTTTACATGCCTACACATTCAGGCATACAAAATCATGCCTTTTAAATACCATTCAAACGTGCAAGCAGAATCTTTTTAATATGGGTACTGTGTGTAAAGAACAAAACCATGTTTGACTATGCAAACATATTGCTTCCCAACAGTCTTCTGTGTCAACATGCATTTTCTCTTTTTTACAGTTCCGCCTAGAAACACGTTTCTAACCATTTCACCATCTTTGGAAACAAGAATCGGAGAGAGTATACACTTCATGTGCACATCGGAAGCTTATCCTGCCCCCAGAATGGTGTTGAAGAAGAAGACAGAGACTGGCCTGATGGAGTTGGAAGCTAAGAATGGGCAGTATAGTATTACACATTTGACAGAAGAGCATGCAGGAAGATATCTTTGTGAGTCCTCAAATGTGGTGGGAAAGCAAGAAGCCGAAGCAACTGTAACCGTGCAAGGTGAGTCCCATACACAGTCTGTTGCTGTTGTGGCTGTACTATAGCTTACTTAAAGATTATGTAAACCCTAACAATGAACTTCTGTTGTTTGGTCCCTTTGGGTCTGTTAAAAATACCATTGAAAGTGTTTTATTATATCTATTTGAAAAGTTTTAAATACTCACTGATCCTGCCAGAAATCCAGTGAGTTACTAACTTTCTGTGTTAAGCTAAAAATGTTGCACCAAAATCTCATTGCTATCAGCCCTGCCCAGTTCTCTTCTCAAAACTACAAAATGCCTCCCAACCTGTATGTTGTGTAGATGAGGAGAGAGGATGTGTTCTGTAGTCCTAGCACTCTTCCTATCTTTGTGAAAACATTGTCACTCTAGGACAGAAAGTGTGTAATGGTAAGGTCACCAGCTGAAAGTAAAGAAAAAAAAAACTGAAAAAAAGAAAATCAAATGGAATGTAAACCAGCACTAATGATTCATCCTCCAGGAACTGCCTGAATACTCTTGTCACATGAGGCCGGGCATTGTCGTGCACCAGGAGGAACCCAGTACCCACTGCTCCAGAGTACGGTCTGACAATAGGTCCAAGGATTTCATCCCGATACCTTATGGCAGTCAGGGTGCCATTGTCTAGCCTGCAGAGGTCAGTGAGTCCCTCCAAGGATATGCCTCCTTAGACCATCACTGACCCACCACCAAAACAGTCATGCTGAATGACGTTACAGGCAGCATAACGTTCTACATGGCTTCCCCAGACCCTTTCACGTCTGTCACATGTGCTCAGGGTGAGCACAGGGCACCAGAGGTCGATGTGCCAATTCTGATGTTCAAGGACAAATGCCAATTGAGCTCTATGGTGCCAGGCAGTGAGCACAGGGCCCACTAGAGGACGTCGGCCCTCAGGCCACCCTCATGAAGTCTGTTTCTGATTGTTTGGTCAGAGACATTCACACCAGTGGCCTGCTGGAGGTCATTTTGTAGGGCTCTGGCAGTGAGCATCCTGTCCCTCCTTGCACAAAGGAGAAGATACTGTTCCTTCTGATGGATTAAGGACCTTTTACAGCCCTGTCCAGCTCTCCTAGAGTAACTATCTGTCTCCTGGATTCTCCTCCATGCTCTTGAGACTGTGCTGGGAGACACAGCAAACCTTCTGGCAATGGAACGTATTGATGTGCCATCCTGGAGGAGTTGGATTGCCTGTGCAAACTCTGTAGGGTCCAGGTATCACCTCATGCTACCAGTAGTGACACTGACCCTAGCCAAATGCAAAACTAGTGAAAACAGTCAGAAAAAATGAGTAGGGAAAAAAATGTTAGTGGTCTCCACCTGTAAAACTATTCCTGTTTTGGAGGTCTTCTCATTGTTGCCCATCTAGTGCACCTGTTGTTAATTTCATTAACAACAAAGCAGCTGAAACTAATTAACAACCCCATCTGCCACTTAACTGACCTGATCAATATCCCAGGAGTTTAACTGACTTGATGCTATACTCTGATTAAAAAGTATTCCTTTAATTTTTGTTGAGCAGTGTATGTACCATAGTACCTTCCTGACCACATTTTCTAAAACATCTAAAGGAGGCTTGTGGATTCATTCTGGCAATCCTAGATGGAACCATATACAGTACTATTGCAATGGTATTTGTAGTAAGATTCCCCCAGGGTTGTATTGGTAAATATTTTGGAAAGATTATAGATAGTATTATGCCAATCTTGGAGTTCCCAAGAAATGCCAAGGTCTTTTTCCCCAGTGTTCCATATAGGGAAGTTTGTGTGCAAACTGGGTTTATTTTAAATAATTAAATTTTTTTCTCTCAACAGTTCCGCCCAAGAATACGCATATAATTATCACTCCTTCAGCAGAAGTTAAAGAGGGAGACTCCATAGACATCAAATGTGTTTCAGAAGCTTCTCCTGCTCCCAGACTTGTTCTGAAGGTGAGGACAGAAGATGGTGTGAGAGAGCTAGTACTGGACGGTGGACATTACCAAATTGAGCATGCTGATATGACACACTGTGGGACATACATCTGTGAATCTACAAATGTTGTAGGACAGCAACAAGTGGAGACCACGCTGACCATTCAAGGTGAGAAATAAAGGAAACAAACAATATAATGCATTTAATAAACTCCTTAGAGTAAGATAAAGTTAAAAGGTATATCCCAGCCAATCGCAGTTCATTTTACAGGAGGCATATCAGAGGATGACATATAATAGCTTTTATGGATAAATGCAACTTGTGTATTTTTTTGTAGTCTTTTTTTGCCCTAGAAGCGTTAGATAATAAAGAGTATATCCTCAAATGTTGTTAGGGTTAATGTTCATCTAAGTTAGCATATAACATCTACAAATCAATGATTAACACGTGAAGCTACACAATCAACTATGCAGAGTCTTCTGTTTGTAACGTGTATTATTTTTCCCTTACAGTTCCACCCAAGAATACACATATAGCCATCACACCCTCAGCAGAAGTTAGAGAGGGAGACTTCATAGACATCATATGTGTTTCAGAAGCTTCTCCTTCTCCCAGACTTGCTCTGAAAGTGAGGACAGAAGATGGAATGAGAGAGCTGGTATCTGAGGGTGGAAGGTATCAAATTGCACATGCTGGCGTGAAGCACAGTGGGACATATATCTGTGAATCTACAAATGATGCAGGACAGCAACAAGTGGAGACCACACTGATCATACAAGGTGAGGAAAAAAAACAAACATTAAAATTACACATTACAAATCAATACATATTAAATATAATAGTAAAATAAGGTTCCAAGTGTAGCAACCCAACCAATGAGATTTTATTTTAGTGATGGCAGATGATGGACGGATGACCTATGATAGGTTTTTGTGGGTAATTGCACTTTGTATATTGTCCTTTGTAGTCTATTTGCCCAGGAAACAAAGCAAGTGCTCTTGCAAATGGAGCCTCTCTGCTCCTTTCAGCAGGGGATCCATGAAAAGATTCCCTGATGAATCTTTGCTGAACAGGGCAGATATCAGTTTTCTTACATCTGTGACCTTTCAGTTTATATCCATATTTAAATTAAATTAAATTTATGTTCCTGTTTACATCAGGCACAGAAAAGAACAAACTCAGAAATAGGCAGGTGTAAATCTATATCAGCCTGCCCATAGAGCTACATGAAGCCTCTGATCAGGTCCACCTGAAAAACTGAAAGGTAGACATGATTGGAAAGCCAGTGTGAAAGGGCCGTTACACAGTGAGGACTATAATCCTCAAGTTTTGCAAGCTTTTAGAGATAGCATGTAATATTCAGTAACCAGTGGGTCTACACTTTAAACTGTTCAGTCTTGTGTTTTTAAAGTGTATTTTCTTTTCCTTACAGTTCCCCCCAAAAAAACAGTTTTGACAATCAGCCCTTCGACAGTATTGAAAGAGGGAGAGAGCGGACATATTAGGTGCATATCAGAAGCTTTTCCTGCTCCCAGATTGGTGTTGAAGAAGGAGACAGAGGCAGGCCTGATTGAGCTAGAAGTGGAAAGTGGGGAGTACAGTATTGAACATGTTACAGTAGAGCATGCAGGCACTTATATATGTGAATCAACAAATGAGGTTGGACAGCAGATAGCCGAGACCACAATGACTGTACAAGGTGAGAAATTAACATTTATCATTTATATACATAGTTTGTTTAGATCTTGTGTCTTGCCTGTTCTGGTATTTGCTATGCAAATATAACACTGAACAAAAACTCAGCCCCAAAATTTAGTCTAACAAAAGGATGGAAGTGATCATTCCAGAAGCTGTCCTTGCCTAGCTTAGCAATGTGTTTTTGTTCCTCCTAATTTATTGTCTAACAGTATTTTATATTTAAACCGTTATTTTTTTTTATAATTCACCAGCTCCACCCCAAAACACTTTTATATCAATCACTCCATCTTCAGTGGTGAACGAGGGGGATGATGTACAGATCCAGTGTATATCTGAAGCATATCCGTCGCCAAGGCTTGTCCTCATGGTGAAGACAGAACATGGCCTCATTAACCTGGAATCTGCAGATGGACTGTACAATATAACAAAAGCAGAAGAAAAGAATATGGGAACATACATCTGTGAATCTACAAATGTGGTTGGACAGCAAACAGCAGAGGCCATGCTGACTGTACAAAGTGAGTACCATGCAAATGGTTAAACATTCTAACATTCATTAATATGCTATGAGAACTTATATAGTAACCCAAAAACAGTTTGAAATGTATTTTCAAAGGTTAACTCCACCCTTTAAAATGATTTTAAATGATGAGTGGATGCTGGGGGTTGAATCACCCACCAATCCAGTAGGTGTGCTGTACATAGCTGGAAATGCAGGTGTACAGACCCTGGATATATGCAGTATAAAAGCTGGTAGGCATCTACCCATGTTTGAAACAATAGTTATGGATGGACTGAACCTTTTAGGTTGTAGGGTTAAAGTATACCACACTCTAAGATATAACCTTGTGCATAATTAACCTCAAAATTTTCTTCCAGTTCCACCACGAAACACCACAGTTGTGACTCCATCACAGAACATCACAGCAGGTGTTACTGTCACTATCACTTATGACATCATCCCACCTCCAGGTGAGAAGTGCCCTAAAGAGCTTCTTTCATGGCTTCCTTCCTAAGAATCCACGCTAAGCGCTTCTAATATACTTCTTTGCTGGCTTATATATAGAATAGAAAGAGAAGAGCCCACACACAGGGAACCATGACTGATTCTAGAAGCTCAATTTGAGAAACTGTTTAGAGAACATCTGCTAGATCTTTGTTTAATGGCACACATGTATCTGGTTTATAACATGGGAAGCAGTAAGCAGCTATGCGGATCTTCACAAGAAAACATCAGTTAGCCTGCACTGCGTCATATAAATGCCCAGGTCTGTGACCTTTCTAAAAACATATGGTTATATGTTATATTGTTAGACAAGCTCTAAGTAATGGAGGAGCCACTATACTGGTTTCAAGTATATTTATATTGAGGTGGATTGAGGGGAAAGTGGTTCAAGTTACATCACTTAAGTCCAGGGGCGGACTGACAACTCATGGGGCCCCCGGGCAATAGGGGATCATGGGGCCCCTGTGCCCTTGCCCAAACTCAAAAAAGCCTATGAAAAAGGTACCAGGGGCATCTCATGGGGCCCCCTACTGACCCCGGGCCCTCGGACAGTGCCCGAGTTTCCAAATGGTCAGTCCGGCCCTGCTTAAGTCATAGGGCAATCAAATGGAAATAATTTTTATTCCAGTAAGCATTGGATATATGGTTGTCCAGTTGAGTACCTGTTTATTGCATGCCTGGCATAAAGCCTAATGTTTCTTAAAATGTTACTAAATTCTAATGTATGTGAGTACTTTTAGAAATCCCCTTGCTCCCCTTGAAAGCAAATTGCACTAAAAAGGAATACTTGCTAAATGCCTGTTGAAGCTTGCTACAAACATGTTTAAAGCAACAGCTAGAATTACTATTAAAATTTCTATTTAACACTTCAACACTGAATTGAAGGATATTATTAAGTTTTCAAGAAAGCTGCTTTTCAGATGCTTTGTCAATGCTTGTAAATAATTTCTGAGCCTACAGCTTAACAAACTAGAACTTCTCATGCCAATGCCTGCTTGAACTAGGCCTAAGTGTCATTTTTGCTTATGATTAATATAAAAATATTACTTATTTTAAACCATCATCATGTTCCAATACAAGAAGGATAAGTATTGCATATTGATTTACTATCAACTAACCACAATAATATTCAGACACACTTCTTTCTACTTCTAATCTATAACATTTATGTGCTTCTTTCTGACTTTGTAGCCACCACTTTAATAGCACAATATAAAAAATATTGTCAAATATAATGTATTTGCGCTTGCTACTTAATAGACCTGTTTTTACATATTTCATTTTCTTTCTTTCATTTTTAAAAAATGATTTAATAGAATAAAGTTTAAGTTACAGACAGGCATCCTATTCTGGGACAGTGTATGACAACTGGAGAGATTCCCATAATGCAGATTCCCATGAACTCGACCTACACTTTCTGTCTATAGAACCTGCATCTGTTGTGCCAGTGAATGCAGTCCATTACTCTTTGGTCTTGTTCCTGTCAATCTTTCTTACCATCCCCCATCTTGTCTCTTTTGCAGAGCGACAGCAAAGCCCAAGATTTGACTACGTGCCACCAGCAATCATTGGATCTGTAGTCCTTGTAACAGCTGGTTTTATAGGACTAATTGCTTATCATCTGAAGCAGGCAAGAGTACAAGGATCCTACAGTTTAGTAAAAGCACTAAGGGGCAAAGTATGACTTCAGAAAACTGGATTTACATGACATCTTTAGAGTGATATTACAATACTGTACTGTTGGAAAAGGACCACAACTCATGGCAGAAAAAAAAAGCTAAATCAGCCAAATGCTCACAGAGTTTTTCTTTTGTGAACTTCAAAGTGCACTTGTGCTGGCCAAAGCTTTGTGGTACATGAAATGGACAAGGATGCAGCAACATAATAATTCAGTGGATCTATGCTTAAATAAAGACAAAGACTATAAAAGACAATTATTTAAGAGAGAAAGTATCTCTCAACTGAGACTGAATGGAGCCAAGTTGTTATAAATCACTGTTTGCACTTACTTTCTCTGTCTTGTATATATTTTTTTTGTATATGTGTATTCTATGTTCCTAGAAACTGGCTTTATTTAATTTAATATTTCTTCATTTTTGTCCTCACTTGATTTTCATGTGTTTTGTTTTATATGTGGTGGAGATGTGTTGCGTGAGCTGAATCTTAATTTGCCCCTTTAACTACAGAGGACTGGCTGATCCAGCGTTCTTTTGTTGGCACTGAAATGAAAGAGCTGAATATATGGAAGGATCAAACCCAGAATGGATAGAATGGGAGTTATGTCGCTGGGGGTGCAAAAGGAAACAATACTGTTATATTGCAAAGCAGAGAAGAAACTACTAAGGATGATTCATCTTTTGTGCTTGTTTGGTACATAGAATTGCCTTGAAAAAGCTGAACATTAGGCTAGGAGAGTGCACTGAGAAGTATGATTTTCATGAATGGTAATTCTGAATTACAACATAAAAATGTATAAAGCTTTTCAAAAGATTATGGCTACAGACTAAAGTGTAGTGTATTTTCAGTGAACACATATTTTGAGTAATTATTGCAATGTCTACCTTACAGTCAATTTTTATATAACTCCCATTTTTATAAGATTGCTCTTGTATATCTTTTGTATTAAATATAAAGATTTAAAGATGTGGGGCTCTCAGAGACTTTGTGTAATGTTCCCTTCTTAACAACTGCTGAAATAAGCTATCAGACACAGAGGCAGTATTGTGTTTTCAATCAGTTGGCCAACTAAGAGCAGTAAAGCACAAATAATTTATAACACTGGAAAGATGAAAGTACAGTGTACATATATAATGACAAAAATACACACATATATATATATATATATATATATATATATATAATATACCAAAGATCCATTATCTCCTGCGCTCAAAGACTCAGATCAAACAGGCATTAGTAACAAGCAGCGAGTTCATCCGCTGGTGATCAGAGGTTGTGCAGCTCTATCATGAAGCTGGGGAAGCTTGATAAAACTGTAGAAGAAGATGAAAGAAAGAGCGCACAAACCTTGCACATTACCTCAATAAATAGTGACTAATTTTATTATTAAGGAAATATACTCACAAAGTGATGGTATAACAAGCATAAGTAACCATAATCCACACAGGGTTACAGGTAAATCCAAAAAAGGGGGGGGGGGGGGGGGTGAAAACGAACGCGTTTCGAAGGGTTCTCCCTTCTTTATCAGAGCTGGGTTGAGCAGATAGAGACTTCAGTATGGCAGAGTTCCCATGGCAAGGAGACATTCAGCCACTGAGTGTCAGTATTACAGCCTGAACTGCTGTTATACCATCACTTTTGTGAGTATATTTCCTTAATAATAAAATTAGTCACTATTTATTGAGGTAATACGCAAGGTTTGTGCGCTCTTTCTTTCATCTTCTTCTACATATATATACATATCTGCAGTGGGATATAAAAAGTCTACACACTCCTGTTAAAATGTCAGGTTTCTGTGATGTAAAAAATGAGACAAAGATAAATAATTTTAGAACTGTTTCCACCTTTAAAGAGACCTATAAAAACTGTACAGCTCAATAGAAAAACAAACTGAAATATTTTAGGGGGGGGGGGGGGGAGTAAACATAAAAAACTAAAATAATGTGGTTGCATAAGTGTGCACACCCTCTTATAACTGGGGATGTAGCTGTGTTCATAATTAAGCAAGCACATTCAAAATCATGTTAAATAGGAGTCAGTACACACCTGCCATCATTTAAAGTGCCACTGATTAACCCCAAATAAAGTTCAGCTGTTCTAGTAGATCTTTCCTGACATTTTCTTAGTCGTATCCTACAGCAAAAAAGCCATGGTCCACAGAGAGCTTCCAAAGCATTAGAGGGATCTCATTGTTAAAAGGTATCAGTCAGAAGGGTACAAAATAATTTCCAAGGCATTATACATACCATGGAGCACAATGAAGACAGTCATCATCAAGTGGAGAAAATATGGCGCAACAGTGACATTACCAAGAACTGGACATCCCTCCAAAATTGATGAAAAGATTAGAAGAAAACTGGTCTGGGAGGCTGCTAAGAAGCCTACAGCAACATTAAAGGAGCTGCAGGAATATCTGGCAAGTACTGGCTGTGTGGTACATGTGAAAACAATATCTGTATCCGTATTCTTCATATGTCTGGGCTATAGGCTAGAATGGCAAGATGGAAGCCTTTTCTTACAAAGAAAAAATTTAGCAAAAACACATCTGAAGTCTCCCACAAGCATGTGGGAAAATGTGTTATGGTCTGATGAAACCAAGGTTGAACTTTTTGGCCATAATTCCAAAAGATATGTTTGGCGCAAAAACAACACTGCACATCACCAAAAGAACATCATACCCACAATGCTTTAGGGCTGTTTTTCTTCAGCTGGAACTGGGGCTTTAGTCAAGGTAGAGGGAATTATGAACCATTCCAAATACCAGTCAATATTGGCACAAAACCTTCAGGAGTCTGCTAGAAAGCTGAATATGAAGAGGAACATCATCTTTCAGCATGACAACGACCCAAAGCATACATCCAAATCAACAAATGAATGGCTTCACTGGAAAAAGATTAAAGTTTTGGAATGGCCCAGCCAGAGCCCAGACCTGAATCTGATTGAAAATCTGTGGGATGATCTGAGGAGGGCTGTGCACAGGAGATGCCTTCGCAATCTGACAGATTTGGAGTGTTTTTGAAAGGAAGAGTGGGCAAATATTGCCAAGTCATGAGTGGTGTAATAAAATCAAAAGGTGCTTCAACAAAGTATTAGTTTAACCACAAGCCTACAGGGCACTTATACCCCCTTCCTGCCCAGGCCAATTTCCAGCTCTCAGTGCTGTCACACTTTGAATGACAATTGCGCGGTCATGCAACACTGTATCGATATGAAATTTTTATCATTTTTTTGTGACAGATAGAGCTTTATTTTGTTGGTATTTATTCACCTCTGGGTTTTTTTTTCTTAAACAAATCAAAAACCACTGAAAATTTTGAAAAAAAAAAGTTTTTTCTTAGTTTTTGTTATAAAATTTTGTAAATAAGTGATTTTTCTCCTTCACTGATGTACGCTAATGAGGCTGTAGTGATGGGCACTGATAAGATGCACTGATGGACACTGATAGGTGGCACTGATGGGCACTGATGAGGAGGCATTGGTAGGTGGCACTGATGGGCATTGACAGGCATCACTGATGGGCACTGAAAGGCAGCACTGATATATGGCATTGTTAGGCGGCACTGACTGGCACTGTTAGGTGGCACTGACTGGCACTGATAGGCGGCACTGATATGCGGCACTGATGTGCACTGATAGGCGGCAGTGATGCGCACTGATAGGCATCACTGACTGGCACTGATAAGTGGCACTGACTGGCACTGATAGGTGGCACTAATTGGCAGCACTGATAGGTGGCACTGATTGGCATTGATAGGTGGCACTGACTGGCACTGATGGGTGACACTGAAGGGCAGCTCAGATGGGCACTGATTTGTGGCATTGATGTGCACTGGTATGCACTGATATGTGGCATTGTGGCACTGATGGACACTGGCACGTGGCACTGTTCAGCTGGCACTGCTGGACTCTGACAGGTGGCACTTCTGGGGCCACACTGATCATCAGGGCACACTGATCATCAGTGCCCTGATGATCAGTGTTCATGTCCCCTCCGCGGAAAGCCGATTACCGGCTCTCCTCTCCTCACGAGCTGTCAGCGTGACAGCTCGAGAGGAGAGAAATGCCGATAACTGGCATTTCCCTGTTTACATGTGATCAGCTGTGATTGGACACAGCTGATCACATGACCGAGCCGACATCTTCGGCTCTTTCCTTGATCGGTGATCCCCTGTGTCCGAGGGACACAGAGCACCGCCGATCACCAGGCTGCGCGCTCCCTGAGCCGCGCATGCGTGGTGAGAATGGCAGGACGTCATATGAAGTCCTATCAGAACGAGAGAACTACCTTGCGCCCGTCATTGGACTATATGGTGGGTGGGAGGTGGTTAAGGGTGTGCACACTTATGCAACCATATTATATTAGTTTTTTTATATTTTTACTTACCTCCACCTAAATGATTTCAGTTTGTTGTCCAACTGAGTTGTACAGTTTATATGTTACATTAAAGGTGGAAAAAGTTCTGAAATTATTTATCTTTGTCTCATTTTTTTACATCACAGAAACCTGACATTTTAACAGGGGTGTGTAGACTTTTTATATCCACTGAATAGTATATATACTGTATAATCCAAATGATAAGATACAAGGGTCAGTGAAATTACCAACTGTCTCCATAACATTTATTATCTGATTTGTTAAGCTGGTCACACACACATTACAGCTTGACCAACAATCTCCTTTGTATTTGTAGGGTGCATGACCAGCATTATGTTTGTAGATCTGTTCAAAATTCCATAGTGCCAAAAGGAAAAAGTTCTGTGGGTTGCCTTGGGGAAACTGTGAATGTGTGATATCTAATCTTCTAAAGTGTGAATTATGTGTGTGGGGAGATTCATCCATACTATTTGTCTTGGTAACCATTGTCGCTGAGATTGAAAGTGAAGGAAAATCTGACAATTGCACTGTCCCTGCAAAAGGATGTGAGTGGAAATCTTCTAATAGTAAAGTTGGCTATAGATGGATGAAATTTCAGCTGGCTCAGCAGGGAACAGCCAAAATTTGATCAATCTGTGAACAGGCTTATTGTACTGAAGTCGATCCATCGATCGACTTTAGTATAGCCAACCTGTCTGATTTTTTTGCATGAGATTTCTGCCGACGGCTATAACCACCAGCAGTGATTATTTTGTTTGCCTATTATGAAAGGATCCCTTCAGGCAAAACACAATGTAGCTGTGGAAGGGATTCCCCTATAAAAACTAACTGTGTTGATGGGGGAATTGAGTGATTTTCTTTCCTGCAACCCAGGTTTGCAGGAAATAAAATTTCATTGTCTGTGGCTTGCTTATAACTTTTTCAAGTGGCAATGGTCTAAAATGGGAAACCTAATACACATATATAAGTAAATTGGAATCTCTGCAACAGAGACATCCAAAAATTCCTGAGAGGGGTCTTGGAAACCTCTTACCCTATCCAAAGCTAAGAAAAAGTTTTGGGCAGAAGTAAACTTCTTGAGCAGTTGTAGACCATTATGTACATATTGTTAATTCCAGTAGCAGGCCAGTAGAGATTATGTCAATTCCCTGGAAATACATACTTTGAAACCCTGTGGACTGGATAAAAGAAATCCACTGATTCCCCCATCCACACTAAACAGCATGGATAATGGAATGCCAGTGGCTGACTATTGTATTCAGCAGTTGCCGCTCCAGCGGTTGCTGAATACCTGAACAGTGCTTGCATCTGATTCTGTTTGGCAGAAAATTTTCAGGCCAAATCCTTCAACAAACATCACCTGCAAATTTGACTTTTGTTGAGTGTGCAGGTGGGAGAGATGACAGGGACCCCACAGCACAAATCAATTGATATTCAAGAAGTGTATGGCCAGTTTAGAATGTTACAACCCCCTCTAGAGCTCAGCCTCTAATTGCACAAAGTGCTGGAGGCCATACCTGGCTTCATGGTATAATTACATTGCACAGTATTTACTGGCAGTCAGTGTTCTTGAAGCTGAGAAGAGGCTACCTTTTATGATAGATGTGTTTTAAATGCCTATACATATCTACTGGAACAACACACAGATAAATATTGTAAATTGTGGATTTTACTGTCGTGTCATGTTATATCAACTGAGAAAAGAAAATGATGCTTTGAAAGCATTTTAACAAGAGATAACTCACTGCTTCTAATATTTACAAGGGAATGCAATTCCACATAGACTTTCATAAAATAGCTTTTGATTCAGCAAATGTACAGGCTTTCCAATAATACATGGCCTTGTAGAAAGAATAATCTTGCTTTGTCAGGACAGAGAAACATAGATTACGGTAAGTGTTTACTTTTGCCCTAATTTCTAATACTGTACATATCAAACAACTATGAGCACAAGGATATAATGACTATATCAGAAATAGGACTAAACCTATGTTATGTTTAATAGTTTACAGCTCAGATGTAACAAAAGAAAGCAATTATCAGTGTTCCAGTGTTTTTTACCTCATTTTCCTGGCATTCACTTACAAAGTATACATTATGGCGTCCATAGCTGAGAATTATGCTGCATTGTAAAGTATACCGAACACTTATACAATCTTCTTTAAAATATACAATACGATATAACATAACAAACAAAAAGAAGTCAAAACCAAAGATTGCTCAAGCATTCTGAGTATGATTTTTCATTCCTGAATAATCTGCATAATATGCTCTTTATAGTCAGCACATTATTAGCCCAAAAATGTGCATCAAATAGTAAGCACATTATTAGCCAATGTGCATCATGGACTGTATTTAAAGTGGTTCTAAACTCAAACAGTTTTTTTTTACCTTAACCGCTTCCCGACCGCCCTATAGCAGAAATAGTGCTACAGAGCGGCACGGGTGCGTAAAAATCATGTATATATACGTGATTTTGCATTTCCGGGTAGGGGGCAAGCACGAGCCACGCACGTACTGCCCTACCTGCGCTGCTGTTCATGGTCGTGGCTGTCAATCACCGGGTCCCAGCCGGTGATTACTTGCTGCCGCCTAGTGATTTCTGAGGATCTCCAACGGGGAGGAGGACTATTTTTTGTTTGTTTACTAACAGTTCTCCTTGTCAACTCAGGCACACTGCTTTGGATGGCTGTGCACTGTGATTACAGTGAAGCACTGAAGCACACTGACACCGCCCTGTAGTAAAACACTCCCAGCACACAGTTAACCCTTTGATTGCCCCTCATGTTAACCCCTTCCTGCACAGTGCCATTAGTACAGTGTCAGTGATTTTTTTAGCACTGATCACTGTATTGGTGTCACTGGGGATGTCAGTGATACCAAGTCAGTTCCCCCCCAGTGTCAAAATGTCCGCTGCAATCCCGCTATAAGTCGCTGATCACCGCCATTACAGGTAAAAAAAATCCCAGTATATATACCACCATTTGTATATGCTGTAACTTTCATGTAAACCAATTAATTTACACGTATTGGGATTTTTTTTTTTCAGCAAAGACATGTAGCAGAATACAAATTTTGATTTTTGAAATTTTTTTACTGGACATGTTTAATAGCAAAAAGTCAAAAATATTGTTTTTTTCTCAAAATTGTCGGGCTTTTTTTATAGTGCATAAAATAAAGAAAAACGCACAGGCGATCAAATACCACCAAAAGAACACTCAATTTGTAGGAAAAAAAGGACGTAAATTTCATTTGGGTGCAGCTTTGCATGACCGTGCAATTGTCAGTTAAAGTAACACAGCGCCGTAACACAAAAAATGGCCTGGTCAAGAAGGGGGGTAAATCCTCGGGACCCTGCATTCACTATATCTGGTCTCCCACAGTACACAGAACATGGAAATGCAATTATTTTAGTAAATATAAACTGCTAAATACCTTTTCTCCTCAGCAGTTAGAGCAGTCTTGTGGCTTCTATCTATATCCAGCCCAGCACTGGGTAATGCTTGTAGGAGGAGTTTTCTTTCTGCTCTAGGAGGATGGAAATCCCCTGACCTCTGTCTGGACAGTGTTGATTGGCGTCGTTCTGATCACATGCATTCTCCCAAGAAAAAAAAACCTCTCTAGCAATATACACCAAACTGAGCATGAGCATGCCTATGGTTCAGTCTGGTGACAAGTGGTGGCCGCTTGAAAAAGGGGAGGAACAGAGAAGAAAGGCTCAAACAGCCGTTTTACACAAGGCAGAGGATTACCCCTTAGGTTCCACAGTGAATATAACAAGCATGCTTTATTGCATATACAGACTGATTTTACTGTTGTGGGTTTAGTAACACTTTAAATGATAAATTCACCTTTAGGAGCATGTTACATGTGCCACCCATTTTTAGGGTTGAATATGTAACATGTTCCCATAGCTGCAGCTGCGCCTGCCACCCCCCCCCCCCCCCCTTTCCCTCTAACAGATAGTACGGGAAGAAGAAGTGACCATACATCCCGTACAGCAAGCAGTTATTCTGACAGGTCTGCAGGAGACCTGCATGGCATCAGCGATCTACTCTTTGCTGGTGCAACGCTTCCCAGGCTGCTGCAGACAAAAATAATAAATGCACATTTTTTTACCCGCAAAAAAATGTGCATTTATTATTTTTGTCAAAAAGGCGAACTTATCCTTTAATGCATTCTCTGCATTATTGAAGAAGCATGAGAATAAAAAAAAAATCTACACTCAACTCTTTGTTGTAGCATCGGTCTGATGCTGCAGCTGTGCCCCGCTGGCTCTAAGCCTAAGAACTGAGTGATCACATAACTGCCAATCAATCACTCATATCTCGGTCTTCCCAGAGCAGACTATAAGCCTGGGTTCACACTGAAACGGTGCATAATTCACAGGGTTTTCTATGTGAATTCCGCACCGCATCAGAATTGCACCCCATTCATGCGAATCGCTGCAAGTGTGTATGTTAAGTTAACAACACCCCGAAATCGGTCTGCAAAATGCTGTGCGAAGTGCAGAATCTAGTGTGGACCAAAAAAAGGGTCCTTCAC